CTCAGCAGCTTGGTYAGATCCAAAGTCAAACTGTCGAAAATGTAGCCCTCCTGACTCCTTCCCTGATTACAGCACTATCTCCCTCCCTTCAACAYGCCARTTACCTCCTCTAAGCCACAATGCCTTCTCTTGCTGACCGAATCCCTGCCTCGGCGTAGGTCGCAAWGGCCATCGACAGGTCRGYTGTGGCCGGCAACAACGCACCGTAGTCAACAGTGGTGACGGCARCACCTCAGTAATCGGTGTCAGCCCTCTCACAGTTGGTCAAGCACAGTCCGCACCTCGGCACCAACTACAGTGCCTGCRCACAGGCCGTGGCAGACTGCCACTAACCTCAACAACGTAACCCTTGAGGCSAACYGTGGTCAAACCGCTGGATCAACTCTTTTGACGAATTCCYGGACTGCAATACTGACCCCCCCCTTTTGCTGCTTCAATGGCCGRCAAGACYTGTATCACAGCCCATAKCTAAGCTYTCAGTCGCAAACTTGGCCTCATGCCTCCGCTCTTTCGACARGATGAGTACRACCRAACGAGTGCCCCACCAKTACACGCACCAACCASCGGGCAATTCGACACTCCAGCGGCTGCCTTTACGCTTCTTCCACCAATAGTATGGGYGAGCGGGATGAATCTTCCGCTAAATACGGAGGGATACGCTGTCACTTTGGTGCTGTTCCCTCCTAGCCTCCGTTCCTCTGCTGCCGGAATCACCAGCTAAACGGCCCAAATCTGTTGCTGCCATTCGTCGACAAGGTGAAAACATCCCCTGCTGTCTTGCCGGGCACTCCCGCTCGGACCCACCGGTGAACAAGTAAGTCACCAACTTCTCGATTAGCTCGCCGCTACTGTCCCATCGACGGGGTGAGCTAGATCGGCCACATCTCCCACTTAGCCAGCCGGTGCGCCTTCCTACCCACCCACTGCTACCGCCGCAGCTCAGCCTTTCGGTTCGTCTCGCACAACCAAACTTCGGCCGTGTACACAGAGTCTAGGGGGGGCTACTTCCATCGACAGGGTAAGCAACTTACTCGGCAACAGGTAAGTCTCCGCCCTGCTGCCCCACCTCACACTAGCTATAAAGAGTGAACAAGCGCGAATGAATCTTCCGCTAGAACGCGAAAGTATTCACTGCATATTTGCGAAGTTATTCCCCCTTTCCTATGCGTGGCCCGGTGTACCCACACGATCATCCCACTAATCTTACTCTAAATCGGACTTCCCCATTCAGCTCGCCGATATCCCAAATCCTAGTTTCACCTTTTACTTCGCTCGATTTCATCAAGAATCGAGCGAGGTATCTAACTTTTCCACTTCTCCCATAGTTCGTTTCCCGTACCTCTGCGCAATAACTTTTCTACTGACCTCCTAACCCACTAACTCTTTACTAAAACTAACGCCGAAATCGTGTTCGCCATCATCAAAAACCTATGCCTACCACTTTCTCCCGCCTGCTTTTATCAAGAAACGAGCGGGGTAGAGCTTTGCCCTCCCGCCATAGCTACCTCCCTCTCTACACTGTCCACGCATCCCCCACAGCATACCGTCCAAGTCCATTTTCCGCCTTCCTGGCCCATCGCCCCGCTGCCCATCACTACCCCAGCGTTCGACAGCGCACAGCGCCTCCCTGCGTTAGTGCTCTCCGCCCTCTCTCTTCACTGCGCTTGATGCCTCACTGCCTCCGACTGTGCGCTAGCCCGGAAATCACTACATGATGCCGGTCGATGTGAACAGCCAGACAGTGCTCATGAATACTAAGATTCGCTACGCGGCTACTCCGAATCCCCCTCCGACTCCGCATCGTCCCTGGCCTTGGCGTTCGTCGCAGCGGCCTTCCCGATGACTTCGACACCACGCGGGGCTCCCGAGGAGTCAGTCACTAAGCAACTCTAAACCTTCGTGCCCCGCCCGTCCCTAGCCCAGAATGGCGTCCGGATCCATTCTTCCTTTGCTACTTTTTTATCCTCCGCCCGTTTGTGCCTGTCCTACATTAGCTTAGACGTTTTCGAAGGGCGGTCTGGATGATACCGATCGCAGGCCGGTGGTCCTGGAACTTGGGCTCCGGTAGGGGAGTATGTAAACTTACCTGCCGAATTAAGCAGCCCAACAATCCATCTGCAGCACCCTTGCCACGAATCTCTGTTCGGAGCCCCCGGTTTTTACGTGTCGTCCTTGCGCAGGGGCCATGCTAATCTTCTCTGTATCGTTCCAATTTTAACAGATGTCCCGAAGGACCGGGCCGGGTTAGCGTCTCGTGGCGACACCAAAAGGCCGCGCCGCCTGTCTAACACCCGCCCCTGCGTTGTTTCGCGCACACCTACGGGCGTGAGATAGATAATTATAATATTAAAACTTCAAATTAAATAATATATATATATGTATATATATATATGGACATATAAAAAACCGCAAAGCACACGGTAACCAGGCGAGAGCTGCGGCCCCCGTGATAACAAAAAGGCGAGGGGGATAGTCCTACCGGCCCATCAACCCCTCGAGCCTTTCCGTCGCGCTCCTCCGCTCCCTTGCCGCACGCCGTTGGTCTCAATCCCTGCGTCTGCTGCGTACTAGTCATGTGCTGTAACCTATAGGGCTAAGCCCAAGCCTGGTACCGGCAGCCTCAAATCTCCTAATGAAGAGGCAGCGAATGGCTTTTGGGTCCAAGGAGACACCCTTATGCCCCTTCCCGGCCCGCACTCGCACAGAAGACCACCCAAAACTCACGTCGGCCTACCGGCCTTGCCGTGGCCATCCGACCTTAGCCAAATCCATTAGGTCCCATCATCTGGATTCTGCGTAAGTCCACACAGGCTCACTGGACCGTCCATCGTACCACGCGGAACTTAGAAAACAACGCACTCGTAGTTAATTAGTTAAAATCAAAACAAACGAATTTGTCATAACGAAGCACGCCGGCCGAAATCCACGTTGCGTCTTCCATCGTGATCAAAGAGAGAAAGATCACGCGCGTCTTGAACCTGCGCGCCCACACACTCTTTACTCTAGTCAACCACCTAGTCGACGTAAATTACAGACGCAGCCGCGCCTAGCGCGGCATAATTAAACTTTAAACCACACTGCTTTCTGTCGTTTGCAAAGACCAGGGCGGTTACTCTTGTAAGGGTATTCACACTGACAGCTTACCGGACGATATTAAGCGACGTCCCCGTCGCTTCGCATGATCAAAAAACTATCACCGGACGTCGGGATATTCGCCCTGACACTCGGACGTCAGGATACTCCTCACTGTACTACAGCATAAGCTCCATTGGATCTCTCACAGTCCCCTTCCCTGTGCCCTAGACAACCGCCAGCTTCTCGTTGTGTGCCCCTAGCCCTTTGCCTTAAAACCAAGTCGTGACTAGGGGCGCGGACCCTAACCGAGACCTTCGAAGGTATTCTCTCGCCTTCCTCTCAAAAATCTTCACATTAACACACGTTGTCGTACCATATAGATTCTCACATAAGCTCTCCTGCAGTCTAGTACAAGAAGACCAGGTCTCCATCTTGACCCACCATAGTCTGGATGATCATTCCAGATCTACGACCAACCACATTGTTATTTCAGCGGTAGTGCCTTCACGGGTTGCGCCACGATAGGTTGTTCCTGATAGGCATTCAATCAGGACTTCCTCAAAAAGACTCATATGACTCGACTCTTATCCCACGCCTCTCCGCAGGGGTAAAGCCCTCCTAGGCGTTCACGCCCCTTTAAGTCTTTACTCCCTTGGCTAGATGCAGGCCCTCTGCTCAAGTTGTGCCAAACAGCGGCCAACACTAAGGGTTGCGCCTTATTGATGCTAGTTATACCCCTAGCTGGGTCTCTTATAAATGTCCAAGATAAGCACAAGCGACCTGACGATGTGTCGCAACAATACAGGCCTACTGCGGGACTACGCATAGGCCTGTCGCACATAAAGGTATTAACCCGTCCCTCTGTGGGACAACTCAGAGGAAACACGGCAACCTCTCCACAATTTCAAAACAAAATCACCGCCTGGCTCACAAGGCCGTGGCCTCCCAGCTTGATCAGAGCAAGAAAGTCACACATCTTGATGACATCTCTTAAAACACACCATTTGCGACATCCAAGAATTCTACCAATAGTCAAGCAAAAACTTGGTCCCTCTCGTCAGTCTTTTATTAATCAAAGTCTACCATCCATTTATCAATTTATTTAACCACCTTACTTATAGAGGAGTTCTTACTCTTAATAGGTCTCTCAGTCATCCCTTTCTCACTAGGATGAACTCTTTCGCGACCTTTTCTTTAACGCATCTTCCCTCTCTGAAGGTGCGTCTTCAAATAGATAATGGACAACCTTTTCATTCATAGGTGTCTCACTCATTATATGATCCATATAAAAAGACCAACTTTTGGGTCTTCTGCTCAACCAATAGAACACTCATCATTTGAATATTCAGGATCCCCACATTCTTTCACAAAACAGACTGCGCTTCCTTGCCTTATATTCGGCCCTCTCATCCACCCAAGGGCGGGTCGCACGAGTATACCGGCGAGTAGACAATTCACATTCATCCAGATTCACAAAGTACAAGATACATCAAGCATTTTCTCGCACATATTTCACACCAAGCCATCATCCATCAAGCCAGGACCACACAAGTGAGTGTGAGAGTGATTGTCATATACAACAAGGAGTCCCCAAAAAAGGGTCTCGATATAATGTACACTTAGGGATAAAATATCCCACATGAAATGCCTCCAACATACACTCAGGGGCAGAACGCCCCATACACAAATGTCCCCAAATCGAAACTTACTCAACTCACTCAAAACCACACTCAAACTGATGTCGTCCTCAAACTACAAGTTGGTTCTGTCTCTCGGAGATCAGAGCGTAGGCCACCTAAGTATGTACATGCCTCCTCTACCATGTCCCAGTCCTCAAGATGGCAGAGTCAACAAAAACCCAACCCATACTGTCTGGCAACAACAAATAACACCTAGGTCTACAGAATGTCATCCAATCCTTACTCTAGTTCTACACGCAACATGTCAACTATATAGGTAACTCAGTTCTCATCGCTCATCTCCTCGTGGTTTTGCCTATATAGCTGAGCCCTACCCCCAATTGCAGATCTCTCTACTCTCCTGCCTTGTCTATCATACATCCTGCCTCCTTCCTCGGTAACCTTCCCTTCAGCCTTGTCCTTTAGGAACTTAGGACATTGCAAGGCTCGATGTCCCTCCTTTGTACAGAAGAAGCAGGACGTATCGCACCACTTCCTGGACCTCTTCTTTTCTCTCTGAGACCCTGGCGATAATGGCGCTTCGCTGGCCTCCCTGCTCAACTTATGGCTCTTAGGCATATCCAAGGGTTCCTCTCGTGTCTCCACCTCCTGGGTACTCGGTCCAGGTCGGTCTTCAATCCCCTCTGGCCCGTACTCAGGTGTGCCCAACCTCTGGAGCCCGCCCTCGATGCCAGCTTCCGCCTCAATCCCCATCTCTCTCTCGAGAGGCTCCTCTATCCTCTGCTCAGGCGAAAACAAACTCGCCTCCTCCTGCATCGAGTGCACTGCCTCAATGAGCACGTCCATAGATCCCTTTGCTGAGCCTTGAGCTGGCTCACTGCTGGATGGTGGTAGCCCCTTCTCAACTGCCAAAGGTCTGACTGGGCCCGCCGCTACTATAGGTAGCGTCGCGAGCTCAGTAGGGGCTCTTAAGTCGAAGGCCTCTCTCTCTGCCTCCCTCTGGGCTCTCGCGTCCTCTGGCTCCAGGATAACTCTCCCCATAGGTGGCTCCTGGCGAGTCTCTGCTGCAAATGGCTGTCCTGGCAAACCATGTCCTGACTGCCTCTTTTCTCCCTGCCGGCTGCTCTCTAGCTTGTCCGCCCCTCCCTGAGATCGCTGCCTCAGGCTCTCGATGATAGCTGCCTGGCTGGCCACCAATGCCCTGTGTTCTTGGATTTCCACCTCTATAGCCTCCAGGCGTACTCCATGGTCGGCTTCCTTTATCTTCTTCCTTGCCAGATCGCTCTCCAACAACAAGTGCCGGTCAAAAGTTGTCTTGGCCAGGAACTTGATCTTGCGATCCAACCTTTCTTCTGCCTTCCTTGCCATCCCAAACCCGGCTCTGGTTGGCGAAGGAAGCTCCTCTCCTCTCCACTCCCAGAAGTCCCTCCACACCTCTGGGATCTCTGGGGCCTTTGCTGGCTCGCTGGGTGGCTGACCTGGGAGAGCCCCTGCTGCCTCCAATCTTCGCTTCTCCTGCTGTTGCTCCGAAAGTTCCCCTGCTGCCTCCAACCTCTGCCTCTCCTGCCATATCTCTTCTATCCTCCTGGTTCTTCTTACCCTCTTTTCTTCACCTGTCTCTCCAGCTGGCGCTCTTTCCCTCGTACAGAGGTCGACCCTCTTCGGGATCTCTGCCTCCATCTCCTTCTCGGGCTGACACGGCTCCTGGCACGGCTTTGCAGGTGTTTGCTCTTCCAGGTCTGGGTGCTCCAGGGCATGAGCTGCTAGGTGTCTGTCAATCAGGGTCAAGGCTTCTCTCCTTATAGCTGCCCTCTCTCTCCTCCTTTCTGCTCTTCCTTCTGGCGAAGGAGCTTTTTTCTGATGAAGGTAATGGGGCCTCCCCTCTTTGCAACCTCTCCCCCACCTGGCGAGTGCTCCCTGGTGCATCACCGAGTCTCAAACCCACCGCTGGCGTCTGAGGGGGCGTGTCCTTTCCAACCTCTATCACTTCCTTCCCTGCACGTCTCCCCTCATCGCTCAGCCCTCTCTCTCGCTGAGTGTCCCTGACCTCCTCTCGTAGCTTCCCCTCTCGTGGTACCTTCTCATGTGGCACCTCCTCTCGTGGCACCTCCTCTCATGGCATCTCCTCTCGTGGTACCTCCTCATGTGGCACCTCCTCTCGTGGCACCTCCCCTGCTTGCTCTCCATACTCCTCACCCCGAGGCGACGCTCTCCACCGAGAGATATCCAAATGTGCCTCCAACTCCCTCAAAGGCTCCTCAGACGCTGGCGGCTCCCCCTGTGTGCGTGCTGGCGACCTCCTCAATCCACCCTCGGCAAACCGATGGAACTCCACTGGTCCCAACCCACACTCAGGGTACGCGCCTCGCTTCTCAGCCTCTGGCTCCAGCTCCTTCTCTCTCCTAGCTAGAGCCTTTTGTCCTCCTCGAAACGGTCTCGCCTCCCTTGGCTCAGGGTCCCTCTGCCTCTGACTCCTCTGACGCCTCTCAATTCTGGGCTAAGGGGGCTCTGGTCGTCGAAAGGCCTCTCTCAGATGTGCCCTGCAGCTCTCTCAGTCCCGAGCCATGTCTCTGACCTGCTTAGCCAGTGCCCTCTCCGCCTTTCTGGTCCAGAGGGGCAAGGTCCTCGCCCACTCATCTCTCGGTATACCCTGCCCCTGCATGAACCACTCGAAGGCAGGAATAAAATTTGCCGCATTTCCGATCTCTAGGCGGATCGGCCTGCCATCTGGTCCCACAGGCGAAGGTCGCAGCTCCTGCATCCTCGTCTCCACCTCCTGCCTCGTCGTCGCCTCCCTACGAATCCTGGTAATGGCCCCCTCAAACCTGCCTGCTCCCCTCAGTCTCTCAATCGCCTGGGCCACGGTCCAGCCCATACGCCTCGCATGATCCCAAAAGATGTCTAGGAATAGCTCGATGTCCCCATCATCGTACACCGGAGTACTCTCTCAATGGCGAGGCCCATGTCGCTCATATCCTCCTGATGCTCCCAACGGCCTCCGAGGCGGCCGTGTCCCCCTCCCTCCTCTTGGCATGACTGTCTTCGTAAAGTTAGACCTGCAGAACAGGCGAAAGAGACAACAGGCACACATTGGGGTAAGCAAACAGGGGATAATCAAGCAAGCTCAGACTAGACCATACTCATGCAGCATACAACCTATCCGACCTACATAACCTATCGCTTCTATTCTAGAGGTAGTCAGGTCGTCTCTCTTACCTCTTCTCTCGCCACAAATTTCTTCAATCGCGTTCCAGATACCCAATCCTTCCACTAAGTCTCATTCAATTCCTCAATCTGGTACGCTCCGAAGTCTCCAACCCGTACGATCCGGTAGGGACCTAACCACCTCTTATCAAGTTTCCTGGACCACTGCTTTTCCAGCGATGAATCGTAGAAAAGCACGACGTCCCCAACTGCCAGAGGCACTTTCCTCACCCGAGCAGACTGATCCCATCGAGTCTTATCATCCATACGACTTCTAGCCACTTGATCGGATGCCTCCTGGATCCTTTCCTCTATCGCTCCTATCTGTCGCGCCCGAATATCGAGCAATTCCTCAAAGGACAGGTCGACTTCCAGATCCTGGCGCCTCTAAGTTTTAAGAAAACTCTTGATAGGGAAGGTGGTGTGTCTTCCATACCACAACGTCGCATGTGCGTACTTGGTGGATCTTTTCACTGTAATGTTCTCGACAAAGAATGCTACCCTCAGGTATCTTGGCCATTGATTAGGCCTGCCTTCGGTCCACTTAGCCAGGAGGCTCGTAATGGTACTATATCCTCTCTCTACAGGAGCATTTGCTTGGGGATGCGCAGCCGTGGTGTAGTTGGCTATTACACCATACCTTGATAACGACTCCTGCACCTCCTGGCAAGTAAATTCCGATCCCTTGTCCATTACGAACTCCCTGACGAAAGGATAGCGCAGGTAGTACTCCTCAATGAAGCTAACCAAGACTGAACCAGTCTTGGTATGAATGGCACGCCCATCTACGAAGCCAGACAGGTTATCGCGCGCATCGAAGATGTAGTTATAGCTCTGATCCCCAAGCAACATAAAGAGTAGATCGAGATGCACTACAACCCCCACCTCTCGCTCTAGCCTTGGATGCAGCGGCTCTCCTTGCCTCAAACGAGATCTCTCCTAGCAGGGTACGCAGGATCAACAAAATTTCCCGACCATGTCCATCATCCCATCCCAGTAGTACAGCTCGCTTATTTTGGCGTAAGTGGCTTGGATCCCTCGATGCCCTCCTGCAATGCCATCATGAAGCGCTGCTACGACATCAATCTAATGGATCCTACCGTTGACAACTCTCCTGGGATTCCCCACTCCCCTTCTCACGAAAAGGTGGCCGTCTCGCACTAAGTAGCGCTGCAGCATTCTCTGAGCTCTATCACTTGCATCCCTTAGCCGCATCTCGCAAGACAAGAGAAGCCCCAACTCTAGGTAGATCCCATCATACTCCTCTGCACGAAAGGCCTCCTTAATCTCCCCTTCCTCGAACTCGTCGTCCTGGCTCTTGGGCACCTCGTCCACATTCTCTGCTGGGTTCAACGAGTCTAACTGGTCGAAGCTTTCCTGCAGTAACGTGTTGACGAGGAGATACATTCCTCCCATCAGGTCCTCATGCCGTTCTACCTGGCCGGGTCCTTCCTCGATCGTCCTTATGTCTTCCACCAGACTATGCGAACTGGCCAGCGCCAACTCCATCATCCACTGAACATCCTTACTTCCCCGAGGATCTTCTTCTTCAAAGGGTTTGAGGACTAGCTCTGCCCTCCTTTCATATCCGCTCGGCGTTTGCCAAATAGGATAGCCCACACATCTAGGCACTCGCGGCAACCACTTGTTCATATGGAGACGGACATCTTCCTCCTGATCTAGGAATCCATCAACTGGGGGCGTATTCTCCACCGCCTCTCCTTCCTGGTTATCCCTGTTGATACGACTCAACCCGTCCACCCGGTTCTTGCTACCAGGAATCCGCTCCAACTCGAAGTTAAACATCCAGATGTACGTCAGCCATCTGGCAACCGTCGGATCCGATGGAACGTAATTCCTCAGAGAGTAGGCCAGGGCGGTCGGGTCCACTCTCAAGATAAACCTTCTGCCAAAGATGTAGTTCCAGAAGATCCTTAGACAGTGGAGGACAGTAAGGGTCTCTTTTTTGAACTGAGTGTAGTTCCTCTCTGTCGTACAGAGAATCCGACTCTCAAATCGCAAGGGCCTTTCCTTTCCTTCCGTGTCTGCCTGAATTAGAACTCCCCCTAAGGCAGTCGGCCCCGCATCCATTTCGACAATGAAGGGTCGCGTCTCCGTGGCATCATAATCTGGCGCCCCTAATACCAACCCTCCCTTTCGAAACTCCTCCTTCATTGTGACCACCACCTCTTCTTATTCTTCACCCCAAACCCATTTTTGAGTCTGGCGGACTAACTTCCCCAGGTGTTTTGTCTTAGCGGCGAAGTTCTTGACGAAGACCTTCCAAAATCCACACGTACCAAGTCAGCTCCTGACATCAGTTATTGAGTGAAACGGAACTAACCACTCAGTAATCTTGTCCGTCTTTTTCACATCCGGCCTTCAGCCCCTCTCGCTGCAGACAAACCCCAAGATAGTCGCTTCGCTCATGCAGTGTCTGGATTTGGCCCCGCTCGCCGTGAGGTTATGCTCCTCACACAGGCTCAGGATCTTTTCGAGGTCCTGGATGTGCTTCCAAACAAAGCGCCTTACCCCTGGCGAGACTTCGTCGCTCTCCTTCACTGTCGGCCCCTTCACCGCCAAATCGTATGGTTGTGTGATATGAGGGCTGACTAACTGGATAACCCGAATCATGGCCCATTGGACCATTGCTACCGCGTTGGTCCACCCTTGTGGGGCCACGTTCAAGTGGATTAATCCTCGCGGCGTGTGCGTAGCCGTCACCGTCTTGTCCGGCAGGTAGACCAGAAACTGATCATATCCTGAGTAAAGGTCTATAAGTGAGATTATAGGTCTTCCAGCACAGGATTCTAATAGAGCATCCGCATTTGGCAGTCCTCCAGCGTCCCGCATGGTTACCGCATTCAGCCTCTGCAAATCTTGCACCCACTGCAGCGTCCCGTTAGGCTTGATGAAGCAGAACCACGGGGACGCATACGGTCCACTCAAATAGTCGGCGACGTGCGTACGTATCTTGTCGTCGAGGTAATCCACCAGCTTCTTCTCCTCGTCAGGATTAGGATATCGCGCCCCTCGCATGTTCCAAGGCTCGTGTGGCATGATATGGATAAGAATCATAGGTATTTTGTCCACATCCAGCCTGCCACGCTCCTCGTCCATAAACGCATAGGCGCTGTGCCTCCTCTTCATCAACTCCACCATCAATGTCCACTCCTGAGGCAGTAGGAAGTCAGGCTCCCCTATAATCAACTCCCCTTCATTTCATTCGTTGATACGATATAGTCCTGCTAAAGCACTCTCCCTCATTTGCCGTATCAACCCTCGTTCCCTCTCGTAATATGTTTCCTCGTCCTCTGTAACGAGGACGGGAACCGGGCGGCACTTCTTGTCTATCATCTTGTACCGCCTTTGGGAACCCGGCTTGAGCCGTCCCCTAAAAAAGGCCGACTCGCAGATTGCGCCTGCGCGGACGCGGGGTTCCTCCTTCCGTCCGGAAGACGATATACCAGCTTCAATTTCCCTGCCTCACGAGATTCCAGAACTTGCTCCCTCAAGGCCTGGATGGCATCCGGATCCCATCTCATGCGCGGCCACCAAGTCCATGGCCTTCCTGACGTCCGATAGGCTAAGGAAAAACGCTTTCACCTCTTCTTCTCCTTCCGGCTCTGCCCGAAGCCTTCGGCGCTCGCCCTCCGATTCTTCAATCGTGAAGGATCCTGGGTTGGGTCGGTTCCTTATACTCCTCGGTCCTGTATTTCTGCAGGTAATTATTTCGTAATTCCCGCAGGCAGGGTCACATAGGAGGAGGATCAGAGTACCGTCATGCTTATTGAACATCACGATTTCTGTCCTACTCAAAATTGATCTTCCTAGGAGGATCCCGTGGTCTACGTCCGGCATGATGAAGAAGCAAGCTCGGGCCTTCACCTTTCCGACCTCGATGAGTACATTCGAGGCTGTCCGACAAAACACGGCCTTACAGCTTGCGCCGTGCAAAATACCGCAGTCAGATAGGTCTATGTCCAGCCCGAATCTGATAGCATCCGGGTCCTGGATAATGTTCATTTCCGCCCCGGTGTCCACCATTGCTGCACACTAGGAGCCTTTCACCACTAAATCCACCGTGCCGTAAGCCATGCACTTCCAATCCATTTTCGTACCTAACTCCGCCCACTCAGCCTCCTTGGGCAGGATCGTACCCAGATGGACATTGGGCACCAGGCGCCGTGATAACCTCCCCTTCAATTCATCGCGGAGTCGCGGGGCTGACACCAGGATTTCCTTCAGAGTCATGAGGTCATTATGCCCTTCTGACAGCCGGTCGATCACTCTCTCCACATCAAACCCCTCCTCCAACCGAGCCACATACTTCTTCCTTTTGGGCCGTCCGTCGCGCACGACCGGCTCGACCTCTCCCCTGGCTCCCTTTTTCCTGGCCCGCTGCTCCGCTCTCTGATCCTCTTCTCTGCGCAGCCTCTCGTCCTCTTCCTCCTCATTGTCGTCATCCTCCACTTCCACAGCTTCCTTTCTTTTCCCTGACTCTGGCCCCCTTCTCGGAGGTTCTTGGTTGGCACTGGCCTTGGCTTGACTTTTCATTCGTGCTGCCTGTGGCAGCCGGGCCTGAGGAGTGAGGGGTCTCCCCATCATTCCTGACTGTGGGCTTGACCCCACCACATGTACTCCGGGACGCCCTGGCGCTGACTCCGGCCGGAGTCATAGAGGAACACCTTCGGGATGCTAGACCTCCATTTCCTTACTTCATCGCAGAGGTCTACCAACTTCTGCTGGTACCTTCCCACCTTGTCCAGCAGGTCCTCCATCTTCCCCAAGGAGACGGATGTCGGTTCCATCCTTCTTTCCTCATCCTCGTCATCCGATTTGATGATTATGGGCTCTCCCACCCTACTTCCTCCACGTGGTCCTTGAGTCACTTCCTCGTGGCTCCCCACTTCCTCTACCCCAATCGGTGGTTCCTCCTTTTCCATCCATAGCCTTAAACTTTCTACCCGCACCGACGGTCCTTTCCTCTCCTGCCATAACCTGAACATGGCAGGGGGTGGCGGCCCAGCTCCCGCCCTTCGTTGGGCTTCCGCTCTCACTCCTCCAAGCCTTCTGTCAATGGCCTCCCCAAACTGATCGTAAATGTTCCCATCCATAGTGGAGGAAATTAGCCCGCTCCTCTCGTCTTCCCGTCTTATGTTACAGAACCTTATGGTGTGGCCTTGCTGGTCACAATGCTGGCAGATGACCGTCCTCCAGTCAGAACGGGGTCTCCCATACCCCTGACTTCCCTGATCCCCTTGGCCTTGATACCCCTGGCCTTGGTACCCCTGGCCTTGGTACCCCTTGCCTTGATTCCCCTGGCCTTGGTTTCCTCGGCCTTGACCATTCCATTGCCCTCCTCTTCCGCTGCCATTCCTCCCTCGCTCCCTTCCTCCACCCCTCCCTCCGTTGCCTTGATTGCCCTGCCCCTGGTTCCCACCTCCAGCCACGCTGCCCTGTGAACTGGGAGCAGGTGACAGCGGCGGGGCCACAGGCTGGGCCTGGGCTGCGGGGTAGATGGGTGGCGGCATACTCATTTGTGGTCCGGCCACTGGCGGCGGGCTACCCCATGGCACAATTGCATTGATCACCGGCCAGGGCCACTGTCCGTAGGAGGGCGCCCCCCCTTGCGAGGGGCCCGCACTAGATGATGGAGCCGCTACATTTGGAGGAGCCGCCGCTAGGGCCGAGTGCGCCTGCCCTTTTCCTTACCCCTGCCTGCCCTGCGCCAAGTTACGCACTTTGCGTTGGGCCTTCGTCAGGTGCGGCGGCACCGGCTCTTCCTCTTCCCAGAGCTTTTCCTCAACGGCCTCTCCCACCACTCGCTCTTTCCCTTTCACCTGAACTGCCGTCACTACCCTTCTCTGCACCATTGGCTCTGTCGCATACCCCAGCTGCGCCAACACGTCTGTAACAATCCTTTTTACTCCCGGGGTCCCAGAAGCGGTCGCATCCCTTTCCTTTCTCTTCTGCCTTTGCAGGCGTACCTGACGTTGCTCCACCTGGTCCAAGCATCCAACTTCCACCCCTTTGTCAATGGTGGCCCAGATGAGTTTGGTGCTGCCCCCTCCATGCCTTGTCAGCGCGACGACCTCCGATGCGGTGAGTAGCCCCAGGAAGATTGCGCACTGCGCCTCCTCCGAGATCCCATGGACTTTCCGCGCCCTCTTGTTGAATTCCTGAACAAAAGCCCCTATCGTCATACAATCCTTCTTGTTCATTGCCTCAAGATCCGCAGTGGTCAACAGTCCATCTCCCAGGCGGTACTTCCTCTGCATTCCCTCCTTGAACCTTTCAAAGCTACCTTGAACTGCATCTATAACTTTCTTCACTTCTTGGAGGTAGTTGTGGAGAACGTACTGGAGAATGCGCTGAAATTTTACAACATCCGACCGCCTGGCCAGAGCTTTTTCCACCCGCTCCAGCCATTCTGAGACTCTCTCCCCACAAAAGGGGAAGGTATCGACCTTGGGGATATTGCTCGGATTTCTTTCATGCCTGTCAATAGCCGCGATAAGGTCATCGGGCGTCAGGCCTTTCTTGGGAGCACCTGACGCGCCGCCGCCCTGCGACATCTTGACAGACTCTTCTCCTCAAGCTCCCTGATAAGACAAAAACAAGCACACTCCTTTATTCAGCATTACACCTTAACCGGTATATTCCTTCCGCTCTACCTAACCCTAACTCACGTAGATAAACTTTCTCACCTATACTTAGTCACTCATTACTTTTTCTTACCTTCACGTCATTCCTTTATGCCTTTTTCCTATTCACTTCTCATACTCAGATATCGTTCCACCACGGACAACGATAGGCTTTCCGTTATCCCCGGCAACGGCGCCGCCTGTCGAGCGCATCGGTCCGGCACCGCACTAGGGCAGCGCGGGACCCTCCCAGCTGCGTCATGCAAGAGTTGGTTTATATCCTTCGTCGCGAATATACATGGAGCTTCCGCAAACCGCTCCGGCCGAGTGCGCCAGCCATACCTCTCGCGAGCCCCTACGACAGGATAGGGCCTACGTGGAGCATGACTTACCTCCATGTTACGGGAGATGTCACCTCCCTTCGGTGGGCATATCCCCGCCGAGCTACCAGTCCACAGTACGGAAGCTAATCAGTTGCAATCGCAGAGGTGGACCAGCCGAGGGCGTTTCTCGTTCGCTGTAAAATAGGGGGTGCGCATGGTAATACGCCTCTATCGGACCCACACGCGAACCGTCATCTTGGGGGCTGAGGTCCCAAGCGCCGTTCATCGCCGGTCGACTAGGACGCAACCCATACACCACGCGCACACCACTTTACGAACACAAAAATATAAAACACACACACACACACGAAAAACAACACAATACAAATAACGCGACAACGCTCCTAGCCCCTCGGTAGCCAACCCATAACGTTTTAGTGCGGAAATCAAATAGGCGTCGCACGCAAGACTTAATATAAGACCTCACGGATGCAGGGCCTACTCATATCGACTCGCAATGCAGGTGTACGCAAGCAGTCGCAATGATGGCGTACAATGTAGTGACCATAATCAAGCAGCCCCCCGTGGATCCGAGTACCGCTTATGACACTCAAGTGTCAGACTCGAAGTGTCGTGAGGGTCTAATTCTTCATGACATTGCACGACTGAAGGAATGGCCGTGCAACCGCCGCGAGACCTCCGACCTTTGGTCCGAGCGTCTCGGTAGGCAAGGCAAATAGGCTCTGTGCGAGGGAAAATCCCTCCCCTGCAGGGCCTAGGGCTTAGGATGTCCTAGACAAGGACCTGGAATCCCGGCCCAGGACCAACGTCCAACTAAGAAAATTCCCAAGAAGCAAAGCAAAAATAAACAGAGAGGTCATCCTTGGGCCTCTCAGTCTTACCTTCTGAGTATGCCCTTTTGTACGGGGCCCCTTAACCCATGCAGACATTCACCCTACGTACACCCATGTATATATGTATATAAAGGGGGAAGTATTTGACGATCACTTCTCACAGTCTCATTGGGGTCCCTCACAGCCATACGTATATATGTGATCGCAGGCAACCAAATCCATAATCTGACTCATAGCACATACCTGCAAACCATATCAGCGAGTCAATCGACAACCCACGCACTACACGGAGTCAACCCCAACCATCTTCAACATTCATACCCCTTGCTTTAGCCATGCAAGCCCCAACCTCTTGTCTAACCAACCTTAATTAAATACTCAGTACCTTTGTTAAAAGACCATTCAATAAAAGCCCGGGTGAAACCATAACGAAACAATGATATGACCAAGGCTAAGGCCTTTTAGGTTGAGTGTGGAGGGTGAGTTGGAATTGAGTCGTAAACCGACGAATCGACAACCGACCTGTTATCAGTGATAACAGATGATGATCCTCAAAGGATCAAGCTGAATCTAGTCCTGAACTTGAATCAGACGATCAAGAGGACCTGTAACACATGACAGGTCAATGTCCCAGACTAAACCTTTAAGTTCATGGAGAACGATGTCCATATCGTGATCTTACCCAAGTCATCCTAGTTAACTTTGTCTAAACCTATCTCTAGATAATATGACAAAATCTTCCTTAGTCAGAGTGGACTATCAAAAATCGTCACCTGTCACAACATAATCGCTCTCTCTTAACTAAGAAAATTTCAGCAGCGCTTCCCGTAGGAAAAGTGTCTTTCCAGAATTTATATAAATCCAGATATGAAAGAAAGAAATAATTTCTAATTCCAAAGAGTCAAAATTATGTCTAACTTTTTCAAAAAGTAGAAATTTGGGCAGCATCCCCTCTAGAAAGGGAGGCTTTCCAGATTTATACTAAGTCAGATACAAAAAGAAGAAATAATTTCTAGCTGTGGAAAGTCAAACTCTGTCTAACTTCCTGAAATAGCAGAAATTTGGGCAGCACCCCTTTAGAAAGGGAGGTTTCTCAGATTTATACTAAGTTAGATATGAACTCGAAAGATAATTCGAGTTCGACTTTAGACAGAAATTAATCAACTCCTTAATTTTGTAAAAATTTCGGCAGCACTCTCTCTAGAAAAGTGTTATGTCAAAATTTATACAAGGTTAAGTCCAGAATTTGAAAGTAACTTTGACTTCCCAAAGTCCAATTTTTGTCTAACTCCCTGAATTAGCAAAAATTTTGGCAGCACTCCCTTTCGAAAGGGAGACTTCCCAGATTTTAACTAAGTAAGATAAAAGAAAAGACAAGGTTGAACTTTTGACAGGTCAAAATTCAGCTAACTTCTTGAATTTATAAAAATTTCGGCAGCGCTTCTCGTAGAGAAAGTAGCTTGCCAAGAATCTTACAAAGCCAAGTATAAGAAAAGATATCAGAAAATGCAAGAATTGACCTAAGTAAATTTTATTTTTTTTAGAAAATGCAGAAATTGACACTAACTTCTATCGCTCTCGCACGTGGCGAACAACTAAAGCAAATACCTATCAACCTGAAACTCAGACAAAGTAGTGGCCTAACTCAGTCACATGCAAGCCATACCACAAAGGTAAGTACTCTCGCAAATCCCAAGTTAACCTAGACAAACAATATTTGATGATCTCTCAATGATGTAACCCATTATACCCATCTTACATAAGGCATAGATCAGACCGCCTGAACTTACAGAATAACTCAACTTAGTCAGGCCTAGATTCAGAATACCTAAACTTATAGAGCGTTCTGACTTGGCCAAATATACACAAACAGAGGGAACAACTTCTTTTCTCTTCTTTGGGCACATGACTAGACCACTCTAGTCGCCCTGAACTGTTTAAGATATCCAAGTTATATATACTTATCTTCACCTTCGTCTTCTAAGGCTGCATATGACTGAACTAACTTAAGTTCAACCTGCTCCAGTTTACCATTAGTTTTATTCTTAGTTGTACTCTCTTCACGTTGTGATACGACTATAGTAAGACCACCTAAACTTATAGAACAGTTTGATTAGCTCGTTCTTGAATAGAGTAATAATAAAATATAGCCAAGTTATAACCATTGGGTTCCAGCATATGCGAGGCTTTGAGCCAGACCTCTGAGCTTACAGAAGGGTCTTAACTCTCTGCCAGATTCGTTTCTAACTGAGCCATTATGTGTGTGGCATCGAGTCAAACCCCCTGAAGTTACAGAAGGGTCTGCCTCTTTGTCAAGATTAATTCTTTAGAATAAAGAGCAGGAAGAGACTTAGCCACTTGAACTTACAGAACAACTCGGTCTCCTCGTTCAAAAACCAAAGAAACAAGTAAAATCTCAATGAAAACAAAGCAACCCAAGGCACCAAAACTTTTTGAGCGCCCTGAGTCCCTGAAGATCAAGCACAATAAAAACCCCTCACAAGTCAGAGCAGTTAGGCCACCTGAACTTACAGAACAGCCTGGCCCTCCATACAAACCATAGCAATGAGTCTCCCTAAACTTATGGGGACATCCTAGCCTCCAGAGTAATCAGGCCCCCTAAACTTATAGAAGGGTCTGACTTCTCCATGCACAACTAAAATAAAACAGAGCGCTGGGGTTCCCCAAACTTATGGGGACTCCCCAACCTTAACGACCCTGTCAACCATCATGCAAAACAAAACCCCATCCTGCCTTTCCCCAGATGCAGTTCCTTCTAACAATTTGCTTTCATGCAGTTAACAAAGCCGAAACTGAAACTTAATCAGACATTCTTTTACTTAGTCTTGTTCAGTGTCCTGAAAGTCAAACCAAAAATAAGGTAAGGCTGCACACTATATATTCAGTCAGCGATGCAACAGGTAGTACACATAGGGGTTATATCTCAGGTGTATAGAAGGAAAACGCAAAGGTTACCAGTCAATTCCCTGACTCGAGAGCCTCGCCTACGCTCCGGCAGAGCTCCCGCAATCGCTGGGATGACTCCCCACAGAGTCTTGCTGCGGTCCTACGGGTTGCAATCCCGCCTGCCGCCTTCCCCTCAGGACAAGACCAGACTTAGAGTAAGAAGGATAGAAAGAGGTGATTTTGAGACTCTCAGATACCAGAGGGGTGCTCTCAAGCTCACCGGAGAGGGCCTTGTTTCCTCGACTCGCCTGAGGGCCCCTCAATGGCAGCCAAGAACTCAGCAGCTTGGTYAGATCCAAAGTCAAACTGTCGAAAATGTAGCCCTCCTGACTCCTTCCCTGATTACAGCACTATCTCCCTCCCTTCAACAYGCCARTTACCTCCTCTAAGCCACAATGCCTTCTCTTGCTGACCGAATCCCTGCCTCGGCGTAGGTCGCAAWGGCCATCGACAGGTCRGYTGTGGCCGGCAACAACGCACCGTAGTCAACAGTGGTGACGGCARCACCTCAGTAATCGGTGTCAGCCCTCTCACAGTTGGTCAAGCACAGTCCGCACCTCGGCACCAACTACAGTGCCTGCRCACAGGCCGTGGCAGACTGCCACTAACCTCAACAACGTAACCCTTGAGGCSAACYGTGGTCAAACCGCTGGATCAACTCTTTTGACGAATTCCYGGACTGCAATACTGACCCCCCCCTTTTGCTGCTTCAATGGCCGRCAAGACYTGTATCACAGCCCATAKCTAAGCTYTCAGTCGCAAACTTGGCCTCATGCCTCCGCTCTTTCGACARGATGAGTACRACCRAACGAGTGCCCCACCAKTACACGCACCAACCASCGGGCAATTCGACACTCCAGCGGCTGCCTTTACGCTTCT